GCTGTGCAGAGAAGGTGGACGTGGGCTCAAGTAGCAGGTGCTAAAAGCCGAGCCTGGGGGCGAAAGCTCTCCATTTGTGTTTTTCCATTCTTCTAACTGTGCCCGCTGCAGCTGTTTCTTGGGTTTTACAAGCTTTGCTCAGAAATGTTTTACGGTCAAAGCATTGAAATGTTGCTCTTTCAGAGCCCTTGAGTTAAGGATATTCTTGCGGTTAGAGGCACAATTTGGGGAAGAATTTGGGGGACAAGTACTGCGAAGAGAGGGATGGTCTGGTGATTTAAGTACCAGCCTTTCTTGATTTTGTGTGAGTCAGATGCTTGAATGCCTTGTGCGTTTCCAGATGTTGCCTTTTTCTTAAATCTTTTTCACTGCCTTGGTCTCACGGGCCTTTTTTGAGCTTCTGGTTGGCCATGCCGTGTTAACTGACCTCAGGGAAATGGAGGCCTTGTTCTGGGGTGGAAAGTAGTAGATGTTGAGCTGGACATGCTACTGTTATGCACAGCTCATGTATATTTATAGAGCTATTTGTATTTAGACAGCTAAAACAGACTAGTAGAGGCTTTCTCATCTTTGTCTTCTTCCTAATGTGGCCTCCAGTTTGTGTTTGTCTAAATCCTTAAAACCCTCAATTTGGGGGGAATTACAATTGGTCTTGCTTCAGATGTTAATTGCAATCAGCGTATTTAGCTCGAGCACTCCTCGGCTCAAGTGAACTTAGCGGTTCTTATCCTAACCTTGATGGATGAGAAGAGCAGAGGTTTACCAGCTTCTAGCAGCTGTTTGGAGAGCACAATATCTTGTTGTCCATTTTTGGCCCATCTTTCTCTTCCAGACTAAGCAAACCCAACTGGTCCAAACTTTATGTGCTGAATCGAGTGCACTCTGTCTGCAGGTGAACCCTCTGGGTAGTCCACTTAAGTGAGTGCATCCAGCTCGCAGGAGCCAGGTGAAACCAAGTCCGTACACTGTGCTTTGCCTGTTGCTGACTCTTAGTCTGTCTTTACTGTAGGCTGCTCCGTCTTGGCAGCCCTTGTTGCTTCTAGGTACCGGAGGAGGGCCCAGGTATGTTACCCCCCAGGCCTTGTTTCTCATTCCCAGGGCATTTCTGCCGTTCCTATCTTAATGGGCCCCTTCAGCTGACCTTGGAGTTCCAGCTTAACCCGTGGCATTAAATCGGCTCTTTTTTAGCAGCCATTTCATTCCTCCATCAGCAGCTATTTCAAACAGAGGACCCTTACAGCATGGGCAAGTTATGCACCTCCAGACTAACGTCCAGGACTTCGTAGCCTTTGGAGTCTGTCTCTTTGCATTGGGCATTATCAAAGCATTTGAACGTCTGAGCCCAGGAGGTCACTTGCGATCTATTTCTGGTCTCAACTGAAGCGTAAGGAGATGGTTCAGTGATGGGTTTGTTTTTCTTACTTTCTTATTAAGGCTATTTCTTCATGAAATAGCAGCATGGAAATAGTAACTCATCAGCCATCCAAAAAAAAAAGATAGGCCTATTTGTGTGTCTTGCTGGATTTATTTCTACCTGGGAGCAGGCGTGGGTGTGCTTTCCATGTGGCACAGGGATCTCAAATGCTTAGTCCTTTAATAGTACGAAAAATCATCTGTGATCTGCTGGCGAAGGTCAGCTTTGGACCAGCACATATTTGGAGTTCCTGTGTGAGAACTGTGGGCTGTTAATCCTGATCCTGTTGCAGAAAGTCTGGCTGATGGAAAGGTCAATTTGCTGTAGAAATCCGGGTTTTACTCGGGTAGGATTTTTCAATAAAGCTTGATGTGACTCTCCCTGAGTTGCAACAACAGTTGTGAGAGCTGAGGAGTTACTTTGCTCCTCGCTGTTTAATAACTGTTGCTCTTGCATGCCCCTGTGCATGTTGTGCAAATGCAGCGTGCATGCCCCGAAGTGAGTGTCGGCGGTGATTTTAACAGGTGCAGATTGAGAGCAGGGAGGAAGACTCTTTGTGGCAGGTTACTCTGTTTCGATATTTTCTTTGGAAGTCTCTGAGAGCATCAGCTGCTCTCCCAGGGAGGATGCTGAGCCAGATGGACGGGTCTTTACAGTTCCTCTCTTCCCAGTGCTTTTGGGGTGGGTCCACACCCCGATAGGCTGGCGAGAGGGAGCCCAGAGCACAGTTACTTCAGTCTTCCTTTCATTTGCACCCAACTTTGGTTTCTCCTCCTTCTTTTTTGTCCTCTTTCCTGTCTAGTTTCTTCTCTTTTTTTGTATACTTAGTGGGTTTAGGTGCCTCTTCCCCCTTTTCTAGCAGTGAGTATCCTACTGTTTGAGCACCACGTGATGCGGCAAATTGGCGTCTTTGCAGGAGCCTCCTTGGAGCTGCAGCACGCATCAGCACAGATGGAGCAAAACCAACGGAGCGGTTCTGAGATCCTGCCCTTTGCTTCCCAAAGTGGAAGGCAGTGAGCTGCCCAACTAAGTAAAAAAAAAATCCAGCAATGATGTTTTGCAACTGTGGGGACTAAGACCTGTAAGCGCTTGCATAATCGCAGTGCGTGCACGTGATCAGACTTTTAAGTGTTACTTCTAGGCCTCGTTGCCTAGTTCTGGTGGCTTTATGGAAATAAATGAGCTCGAAATGGTAGGTTGTTTGTACGGGGCCTTCCAGCATTCATCAGTTCTCGGCCCGCTCTTGAGCTGTCTGGAAACGTGTGCTGTCTTCTCTAAGTTCAGCTTTCACTCTGCCCGCCGTTTGCTTGCTTTTTTGCTATTTTAGGAACATTCCTAAGAAAAAAGAAAGCTTGTCTTTTGCTTTCTGCAACCTTTTAAAGGATGGTAAGTGACTATTGCTGAGATGAATTCCAAGTTGATGTTCGGTCTGATCTCCCTCGGTACAGGGTTGTACTGTTTGCAGCTCTGTCCCCAAGTCTCTGAACTTCTGTTGCAAGTCAAATGTTTACTCAATTAGGAAAACAGGTTGTATAAAAAAAACATGTTAATGAAAAACCATGTTAATGAAAGCTCTTGCCCCTAGAGGAGCCACAGTTTAAGACTTTAATTTGGTTGGGAATGGCTGGAGGGTTGAACATGATCCAGAGTGTTAAACTCTCCTGATGGCTGGAGATAAAAGCCCCTTTAAGCAATCTTATTTCAAACATGGCCTTTTCCCAGGCAAGACTGTGCTGTGACATTTTGTCCTCTAAGACAGATAGAAGCTATGTTTTGGATCTCTGGTGCTATCTTGTAGCGACATTGGTACTCGGGGTCCCTGGTGAGGCTGAATGTAAGGGCCATGTTTCCCCATTTCCAGTGCTGTTACTGGGATCGCCGGGAGCATTGCCTGTGCTCCAGTAAGACCTTGCTCTGAGATGTGACAGGCCTTCCTGCTGCACCAAGGCTCATTTTCAGGTTTTTTTGGTGGTCTTTACTTTTACAGCTGGTATTTCCTAGGTGTGCCTCCTTCAAGACCTGCAGCTGGGCACTTGGTTTCATGCTGAAGAAGGGAGCATCATGTTGCAGCCCTGGCCAGGATGATGGCTACCTGCCATTCCTTTGCCCCTGGTTACCTTTGGATGTTGCTATTCCCAACTCTCTGCTCGCGTTGTCCCCGTTGCGTGGGGGAAGACGCCCTTGGCCCGAATGCCTTGCCTGAGAAGAATGCAGACAGTCTGGCAGAGCGCAGGTTAAATAAAGTTTGCCTTGGCAGAGCCCATGCTCTTGGACGTACTATGAGCTGCCGGGGCGTAGTGGTGACGGAATTGCAAGCACGAATGCCAGCTGCCAAGAGGAACGGGTCTCCTGGCCCTGCTTGCGGACTCCTCTCCTCTGGGAGTCTTGAAGTACGGGCAAAATCGCAAGCCTTCTCCCTACCCCAACCCTGTGCCGACGCTCCCCTCTTTCCTCCGGAGCCTCCCGCTGACGGGGATGATGGCAGCGGGCCATCGCCATCGGTGCTGCACCACCAAGTCCCAGTCTTGCTAAATCAATGGGGACCCTCCTGTTGGCCTCTGTGGCGTCAGGAATTCATCCGTTGGCCTCTCCTTATTCTCGGGGGAAAGATTTTTAGGCAATGGTGAGTTTTGACTGACGGCTGTGGCTTTTGCTATTACACGGGGAAGTGATTTCACATCTGGGAAAGAAGGTCCACATGATTGATTTAGAAACTTTCCCTGGCCAGCGCTTGGGTGGTGTGGACACATCTTCCCTGTGCAGGCTGCAAACACCTCCCAGCCCTTATGTGGAGCAGCATCCCCGTGGCCTCTGGATTCACAGGTTGTTACCGTATAAAGGGCACAGTCTTGACCCAGCAGGAGGGCCGACCGGCAGGTTTTTTGGCAGATACCTAACTTTCCTTTTTAATAGGTGTGCAGCGCGAGGTTTTGGATGGAAGCGGCAATGATTTCATTGCCTGCCACCGGTGAACGGAGCAGGGCCAGACAAGGAAACAGAGGGATGAGAGGAGCACGAAGCAGCAAGATATTTATTCCTTGCCATCCTTGGACCGTGTGGTTTGGTCTCCAGACAAGATACCGTTGACTCTTTCAGTAGCCAAGGGACTGATGAGAGGAGCAGTGGCTGCCAGAACATGTTCATGTCCTTCCAGTCAGTCATACGGCTTGTTTTAGAGTTAAAACACCAGTTCTTCCAGCTCTGTCTGGGCTTATGCATGGACGTAACTTAGGAGGTTAAGACCAGTCATGTGCCTTAGCTGTGCTCCCTTTAGGGACCAGTTATTCATGTGGTTTCCTGTGGGCAGCAGGGTGATGGAGCTTTTCGTGGCCTTTGCTTTTCCCCTGTGACTTTACATATGTGTTTCTGTCTATAAGACAGGGAATGTATACCTACTTCTGGTGCGTGAGGAAACTCAGCTAATTAATATTTGTGAAAATGTTTGGCATATAGGCTTGAAAACTGCATGTTTACTTCCCCAGCAAGCTGGTTTACTCCTCCAGGGCCTCTGACTGGCAGAAAGCTCCAGAGTTGGTGCCAAACCTGACTTTTCGTGACCTTTTTCTCTCTCTCCCTGTGCCCACAGGTGGCTGGAAGTCCAGGTGGTTAACCTGACCTGCACGCAGCGTTGGGTCCAGTACCTCCAGTTGCTGCAAGAATCCATCTGGCCTGGAGGAGTTTTACCAGCAGTGCCTAAACCAGCCAGGACAGAGGAACAGAAGAAAGCAGCAGCAGAGCAGGCCCTGCAGAGCTTGATGGGGATCTTGCCTAGTAAGTGTACCCCAGATATATGTCAGCTGCGCTTGAGGAAGGAGCAGTGGGGTAGGCTGGGGAATCCTCCGGTGCATTGACATCTCTGGAAATGTGGTTAAACGTGGAGGTGGAGTCTGCTCGTGCCAAGGCACCGGGAAACGTTCATGACCTTTGAGGTTTGAATGGTCTCCTGCAAAGGAAATCGGAAGTTTTCCAGTTTTAGTTTGTATAAGCATTCGAGGAGCAGCACAGCTCAGAGAGAAAGGACGTGTGTCTTGGTCATTCCCAGATGCAGAGTGGCCACGTACTCTGTGCTTATTGCTGGGGGTGCAGTTCCTGCTGAGCCACCTCAAATGAAGTAGGGCTCAGGAAAGCCAGTGCCACGCTATGCTCCCGCCTGCTGCCAAAGCATACCGTTGCTGAGAAGAGTCATAAGGCAAAGCTTTTGGCTTCTCCTTCTAAAGAGTGGCTTTTCCACTGGACTGAAACCATGAGCCCAGCTGCACTGGATTTCCCTCTCTTGAAGTCTGACACTGGGACCTTTGGCATTAAAGCAGCTGCTGCCTAATCCATGTGAGTGCAATCTGAACTTTTAACTCATTGCTGCAGTGTCAGGGGCCCTTGCTATCCTTTGGGGATGAAAAAGGGCTACCAGTATACGCCCTTCCAAGCTGGGATGCTTGTCTGGCGTTCAATCCTGTCCCTGGCTGTTTTTTTGTCTCAGTAACATTGGGCATGAGATGCCTCAGGCGCAGAGCACCATTGCAAACTTTGATTTAGCACCCACCAGCAGAAGACCGACCCTGTTTCACTACCGTGGGCATGTGCTGTTCCTAAAACTTTGTCTCTGACACTGACAGATGCGATCCAAGAAATTCTTGGAACCAGTAAATGTCGGATGAGCTGGAACCTGGTGCTGGAGTCCCTGGGCCAGCCCATGATAAACAGGTATGTGGAATTGTAGTCTCTTTACCCTGATAGCCTTTGCGATGGGGCCTGTAAGCTACGCTCAGGGCTTTGCCATGAGATCCACGCTGCAGGCTTCTTGATGCAAAACGTATCTGGCTAATTTTCCTAGACTTAGGCTATCAAAGGGCATCTGGCTTGCTTATTACGAAGGTGCGTGTCTGGGACCTTGGTCTGGCTGGAGATTATTGAGCCAGTCTTGTTAATTATGTTGTTGGCCCTGCTTAGTTTGTGGATGTCAGGGGACTGTCAGAGGAAATAAGACAAACCCTGGTTTAGTTTGTTGGTTTTAGAGGAGCGTAGGGAGCTGCATATATGTGTTGATGGCGTTTTTCTATATACCCATCGCTGTGCATTTGGAAAGCAATGGTTTTGTGATTAACTGCAGAGAAACACATGTGCCACCTTACTTTAGGAGATGCATTTGTGTTTTCTGTGCTGCTCAGCAGCTTCAGACACCCCCTGGTTTGGATGGTGGAAAAAAACCCTGAACCATCCCTTGAAACATTTCTTCTAGGGTACGAGAGGGTACGAGATCTTTTGTCTTTCCCCTGAGTGCAGTCAGAACACTTCTTCCTTGTGTGAGCTTTGGCTTCTGCATCTCTGGAGCAGATCTCCCAGCTCTCTTGTCCCCTGACCAGCCTAAGCTTTGTCTTCTCTCCATTTCAGGCACCTGGTTTTCTGCCTCTTGGACATTCTGCTGGAGTTCTTGGTTCTGAAGAGCTCCAGCGATGAGCTTGAGACCGCAGCTGTTGCGCCGTCTGCCTCTAGAGGCCTGGACAGAGCAGGCATTTCAGCACACTAAGCAGGGCTGGTGTAGCCGGCAGTGGAGGAGAGAAGCAGCCACAGGCATGGGATGATTTGGTTTTTCAGTGTTTACTGAACATGTCTGGGAGCTTCTTGTAAAGAATTTTTCCAGCCAGCGCTAAACGAGGCTGCTTCCAGGCTTCTCTGTTTTGGCTGGGTGATGGATTAAACCCAGTGTCAGGGGCTGAAGATGCTTTTTGTCCATGTAGTGTCTGTTCTGTTGCTGACCTGATGGAGAGCCTGGAATGAAGGTACCTGACCTCTGCTGAGCTGGATGGTCTGAGAAGGATATGCAGGCTGCCCACGAACCCTGTTGTCGTGCCCCACATCTGAACATCTCTGACATCTAAAGGCAGACAGCACATAAGATATGCTTTCGTGACCTCAGGCTCCACCTGGCACTGGCATGCAGAGACTTCATGTGATGGTGTCTTGTTAACAGATGTTTCTCCAGGTCAGGTGAAGGGAGGATCAGATGCTGTCTCTGCTTTCTGAGCAGCCTGCCCTGTGCCTGTGCTGCACCATCCATTTTACCAGAAGAAAGGTGGGGAGAGAATGGAGCATGGAGATGTGGTGATAGCCCTGACGTCAGCGTCAGGGACCCGTCCCCACTGCCCACATAACTGGGACATCGAAAACAGTGCAGAAATCAAAGGTGCTGTCCTGCGTTAGGGGCAAAGATAAGCTGCCTTCCACTGCCGCTGCTCTGTCATGGTCTTGTTCTGGCATCTCTTGCTGGCTGAACAGCAGGATGCAAGTAGGGTAGACTGCTCCTGGAAAAGAGAACTGTCACCAGGCTACAGAGGAATGGTAGCTTAGCTGGACTTCAGGATTACAGTGTATTTTGCCTACTAAGTCACGTTTTAGTCCCCGAGGCTGTCACCTGGAAAGCACAGGAGAAAAGGAGCTGACCCACACGTGACACACAGCAAGTACATCAGCTCCCGTGCAAAAGTATTTGTCACAGCAAGCTCTGGAAGAGGAGCGAGCACCTCTGAGCCCAGGAGGACTACCGGACACGCATGTCATGGAAAGCCAGCGGGTTAGACCACAGCAATGGGCTAGAGAGCACCACCTTAGCTCTGTTGTTGATTGCTACGTCACTGTGCTTTCATTTATTATACCTGCTATTGCAACAGCTGTGTGCAGAGGGCTCTAGAAAGCTTGTCAGGTTATGATGTCCAGTGCCACCCAGCGCAGAATGGCGTGTCGATTTGGCAGCTGCTTTTCTGGGTCATCCAAGACTCGAGTGGTTTTGTAAGATTGTGCTGCCCAGCTGTCAGGTTTGTGTCAGGCAAACGGACACGGAGAATATGAACATGGGGAATATGCACCAACAGACAAGTTTGGTGACCTGTTTTGATGTATTTCGGGGAAGAAATATGAACTGACCAGTGCTGGATTTCGCTGATCAAGGGGACACTGCTCCTGGTGTTCTTTACAGATTAAAGGACTTAGAGGAGACTTCGGAAGAGGAAAGCGTGCAGGATCACAGCGAGTTTCCATGTTACAGTACCAAATGGTGTATTTCGTATAGCTTGCTGTTTCTTGGAGCTGGGTAATCCGTGGCATGTTTGGAGAGAAGGTGATATAACTCCAACATGTCTACTACTGGAAGCATATTCTGCTCTTTCCAGAGGCAGCTGCTCAGTAATGGACACACAGTGGTGTGTGCTCCTTCGTGCTTCGGGGTGGGGGGTGTGTGAAAATACTGGGAAGGATTAGTTTGCTGCCAGCAAGTATATTTTTAGGGAGCTCTGAGACATCTCGAGACTAGGCAGAATCCAGTGTAATGAAGCAAACCAGTTTTGCATCTCTTATTGGAGCCATTTCTCAGCAGTGACACTTTTCAGATGGTAGACTTGCCACCTGCTTTGGAGCAGGAGGGAGCATGTGCGTTAAGTAGCTTAAGAGTAGATTAGGCAAAGCATTGGAGAATGCTCCGTATGGGATAATCCCAAATGACCAAGCAGCAGGTTGGGAAGCAGGACTCCCAGATATCCTTAAACACAGTATCTGCTTGGAGCAGCTGCTTCACCCTGTCTTTCACTGGCAGGCTCCTGTTTCCCTTCTTTTTCCTACTTCCATTTACTACATCAGCTGTCTTGAGGAGTGGGAGAAGGAGCCATCAGCCAGGGATGATGTAGCATAGCCCTCTTGTGCTTGGTGGCTTCCCAGATGCTCTTGGTATGCTTCCTTGCTCTTGCTTCCTTACTAATCTTATGGATTTGAGCTCCAAGATTGTAGTCAGTCATTGATTTAGGGATATCATTAAGTGACTTCGAAAAAGATCATTCAGAGATGGACTGCAAACTATACACTGCCAGCTCCACCTGAGGACAAAAGTCTAGCGCAATCCTTACGGACACTGGACCTGGGAAGGGCGGGCTTACGTTTCTCCTTTGCCAGGAAGCCCTAGCATCCCTGCCATTAACCCTGATCTCTGACATTACGCAAATGACTCTATATTCAATCTTCTTGATGGAAATAACTTGCAGTTTCTGCTGGCGGGCTCTGAGGAGCGTAGCTTGAGAGCCGATGCTAAGCTGGGACGATGCGGCAATGATTTGTGGTTGTAGCAGACAACTGCTTGGTCTGTGCATCCTCTGCACCTTTCACGCAGGGGCCCCGAAGCCTGCGTTGTGCAGACTTGCTCAGATGGCCAAGTAGCAACATCTCCGTGTTTATGTGGGAGGAGCTGGGGCAGAGAGAGCTGAAGTAGGTTTACTTCCATGTGCTCTTAAGTCAGCAGCAGAGTTGGGAACAGACCCTAGGAGTTTGGATTGCAAGATCTTTGTTTAAATCTCCAGAACCCTCTTTCTTTTCTTGGAGCGAGGAAAACAGAAACCAGGGTTGCCAAACCCTTTCTCATGCTCTTACTGGCTAGCCTTCAAACTCCCGTTCTCTCCTTTATAGATCTTAGTCCATTCCCACAGCTGAGGTGAAGCTGCCCGGTAACAGAAGCAGCCCCTCTCTGTATCTTCTTGTTAAGGAATCAAAAATCCAATAAAAATTTCAGCTTTTTTTCTAATGCCAGTTCTTTGCCTCGCTGTAATTTTTGGATTAAATTGAGCATGACGGTGGCAAAAGCAAACTTCTGCATTCAGGTGGGCTGAAAGTTTATTTCCGTTGGACGAAGACTAGAAATACTGCTTTGATAAAACAAACAAGGCTAACAAAAACCTTTAACTCGCTCTGTGTGTGTGTCATATTCCCAGCAAGCTCCCTTTTTCTGCAGGAATTTGTGCAGAAGGCTCTAGCCACCTCTCGCTAAAGGGAGGGTGGCGACAGCAGCCCGATTTGATCTCAAGAAAAAGTTGCAGGCTTCTGTCGTATTGGGTATAGAGCAGTACGCGGTTCAGGTGGGTGCTCAGCTCTCGAGGTCCTACCAGAGAAATGCAGTCTGTTTGCAGCCCACTGCTTGCTGACTTTATGACATTGAGGAAAGCATTTCTTTTCCCTCTGCCTGAGTTTCCCCCAGTGCCGGCGAGTTAGACTGCAAGCTCCCTGGAAGCATGGATTGCTTGTGTGTGTGTACAACAGAGTGCAGTGGTACAGAGCTTCAAGGCACCATCGTAAGCTACAGAGTAGTTGTTGTGTTGAGCCAGAGCTTTTTTTTATTGTGTTTTCGGGGGAAAAAGAGTGCCACCGTACACTGGCTCCCTGTTTTATTTCCTGTATTCAAACCCTTGTATCAGTTATTTGTGGGTGCAGCTGTTCAAGTCTGTGTAGAAGCGCTCTGTCTATTTTGTTGTTAAATGGGGAACAAACTGGTGCCCCCAAGTACCTGTGACTTATGTTCTGACTCTCTGTACAATAATACTCCGTTTCAAACTTGTTTCTGCGTTTGGGTTTAAAATTCGCCTTTGCTAAGAAAACTGCCTGTCAGATAGCCCTTGGAAAGAGACGAGCAAGTAGGGGAGAGGCAAGAAAGCCTAGGTGGGAGTGGGAAGGTGGGGGGCAAGCATTTCCCCAAGTGTCCCGAAATGCCTGGCGGGGAAGGCAGGGCTGGTTGCAATGGGTCTGGGGCATTAGTGGGACTGCTCAGACATGGGAAAGACCAAAGTCCTTAGCAGCTTGGTCAGAAATAGGAACAGTTCTCCCATCTCTGGTAGCATCAGCATTGCTTCTTTTTTCCTGAGAAGTCAACTTCTTGATTTAGGCTTTCCAGTGAGTGTGAAACCAGAGAAGCAACGTGGAAATCTCTGGTCTTTTCTCCTGGAAGAAGGTGAAAGACACCTAGAGAAGCAGAGGTTGTGCAGATCTATCTCCACATCCCTTGGGCACTGCTGCTTAGGAAATTCACCTTGATATCGGCCCTGGAGGAGGAAAGCTGGTAAGCTTTAAGGAAATGGAGAATGTCTGAAAAAGAGAAATTCCATATGAAATTTGAAATACTAAGTTGAAGAAAAAAATGGAGGGAGGAAGAAAAACCTGATACAGTGAATGCTTGGGTCATGTATTATTCGGGATTAGCTCTGCCACGGAAAGATCCCATACACCCTATGAAATCCATTCCCTGCAAGCCAGTGAACATTTGTACAGCATATGATGCGGGGATTGTAGCTGAAGCCAAGTTCCCCTGTATAATATCCACCCCAGGGTAGATTGGTCCATTTCCAGTGTCAACAGCCCGAGGATTAAGCATTTATCTCTGCAGAACAGTGGATAATTAATACCAGATCGAACTAGGGGCTACGCTCGAGAGAGCTTGCTTGTGACTGTATTTGTGACTGAGTGTGGCTTTATTGCCTGCGGGCAAGTTGCAGGGAGCGGGATGATGTTTTCTTTGTACGGCAAGGTGCAGGCATTGCCTGGGTGATACGTGCCTTGTAGCAGAGCATCCATAGCTACAGGGCTTTGGGCTGGGATGGCATTGGGCTTCCCAAATACAGCTGCGGGTGAGCTTTCCCATCGTGGCCACCGGCAGTAGGCTTTAGAGGTGAAAATCGATCAGGAGACCTTCCCTTCCAGCCAAAAGTTGGAAGAATGGAATCGGGATGCTGTCATTTGCCATCTTCAGGATTTAAATGTAAAATCCAGGTTTTGGCACTTCTGGATTTCTTGAAATAATGTAATACCATTATCCTGGCCACAGTCCAGTTCAGGTAATTATATTCTTCCTACCTTAATGCCACTGCAGCCCCCTGTCTCCACT